AACAACTAAAACCACTGTGCCAATGAGAGTTTTGCCACATGGAAATGGAAGACTGCTAGTTTCCCAGTGAGTGTCAGTTCTTTCTCCTAGCCCTGGAAGAAGCTGACAAAAATGCTGAGAAACTATTTACAGTCGCACTTACGGTATTTTATTCTGTCTTATAGCACAGTGCAGTTAGAAGCGGGGGGACACGACTCTATTACCTTCTTCCACAATAAAACAGACGGACTGAGCAGGCAAAAATCACATAAGGCACGTTACTTGAGTTTCACATAATAATATTTCACAAGCAACAGTGTTTGACATTTAGAAGTATGAACACACTTCTATTCCTACCACAGACGTCTGTGTAAATGAAACCAGTTTATACCAGGAACCACTGACCAAGAACACCCGCTACTCCTAACAGCATATTCCATAAACTGCATTTATTTCTGTTTATCAAGGTTGTTCATGTGGAACTAATTAAAAACATCAAGATTGTTGTTTCATAGTCACTAACACACAGACAACAGAAATGCCATTTTAAATACGTGTTAAATAAAGCGCTTGTTTGCTTTTTCAGCTCTGGCTGCCTGAATCTGCGCTTACTGTACAGGTACAGGATCGGGCAGACTTGCCAGTGCTGCACACCAGTGAGAATGGATATTGTAAACTTGTGAGCTGCCACCAGCAACAAGAAAGGACACAGAACGACAACAATCCTTCCACCTAAATACTGCTTTTATTTTTGCTGAAATCGAGGCTTCTTGTTTCATGGTATTTCTATAGACTACACTTGGTATGCATTACATTACAGGAAGCAGTTACGATGCAAGAATATTGTTACACTCCTTTTTATAGCTGTATTATGAAATAGTGCAAAATGAAAGGAAAACAGTGTTTCAGTAGCCCACTGAGACAGCATTGCACTTCAGGTGAAAAAAAAAAAGTCCAGACCTCTGTTTGTAGCACTCAAAAATCCTTCCTCTGCACAATCATGGGTTTTATTTAGATAATCAGAGTAAGGAATATTCTGCTGGAAGAGACATAGATGCCATTTGTTACCGGGAGAAAAGTCTTTTATGAGTGCTTGTATAAAACAGCTTTATGTTCCTCCGACGTATCATTTACCTGATTTGCTGTAAATGTGTTGCTTCTTCAACTACCTCAAAAACAGCAGCAAAAACCAGAGGCACGGTCAGTCAGGCATGAGAGTACAGGCGTGTTACTGCCTCACAAGTAGCTGGAAGGCTGAAGTTTCTGTTGGAAAAGAAAATAATTAAAGCAATAGCTTTGAGTTGCTAATTTTAACTCGGACTCGCCCATCCCAAATAATACAAAAATTCTCTTGCAATTTGGAAATTACTACACACTTTAAGTGAATGAAAAATGTGATGAAACATTACAAAGAGACAGAGAGGCACATGTCTTTTTATATGATAGGAGAGTATTTATATCATGGCATTATCATCTGAGAAGAGAGAGACAGCTATCTGATCCCTCGATTTTGATAAGGAGGAGAGCGGTGATTCTTCCTTCAATGAATAGATAACATGGATATAAACATATTTTGCTTAATTTACATCTACAAATGTACTTGCATGTCTTCTGCTAGTTTGTGATGCAATTTATAAGCTTCACTTCAGAAACAGCAAGTCTAATATTCCCAGTAAATGTTTAGGGATTTTGTAGTGCTGATGACGTGACGTACCACTATGCACGTGACCCCGAGTGACTACAGTGGCAGTAGGGGACATCCAGTACGTGCACAGCCTCTGGCACCTGCAGGTGCCAAAGAGGAGGAGAAGCACAAAAATCCTTTCCCTTTCGCAGGTTCACATTGTTCCCAGTTCCTAAAAGACGGGATTAGGCATGCGCCAGTTACACCAGCTCCTAGAATGTAGTGAAACAGAAAGGATCCTTTAGCTGCAGCAGTAATGGGAGATTCTTTACATTTTCCTTTACTTAGAGAAATATTTTGAAAAGTTGTCCTACAACTTAGGTCAAGGTTGTAAATGAGGTTAATCTAAGTTTCCACCTGTGTTACGAAGTGAAGGCTCATGCGAAATGGAAGAGAGTTTTCTTATTCTCTTCCAAAATAAAATTCACCTGGGGGACCTTTGGAGACTCTAGACAAGGACGGGTGCTTCACTCCTTCAATATGGCTAGAAGTATCCCGTCGTGTTTCTACCACAAGAAGAGGAACGGGTACCCTGGTAACATGCACTTTACATCTTAAGTTATTTAGAACAGATGAATTTGAAGCTTCCTTATTCATCCTCAGAGGAGTTGTCTAAGGAGTTCAATATTCACAGTTATGTATTTTTAAGCAAAACACTTAAAATGATATCAGTAGCATACCAGCTGATGGGTGTTTTAAGCCCTGTTCATATCAAAGCCCTTTCGACTATCTTTCAGCCTTTGGGGACGGGAGGAAGGGAGGCTTTAGTTGATGAACTGCACAGAGCTACCACTGAGGAATCCCGGCACACTTCTCTAGCAACACAATTTTCAAGTTCTTCCTTCAGCAGACAGCAGCATGGTCAGTAGAGAATATAAGAAAGAGTTTCCCAAAGCTTAATAGGCTTCTCCTTTCTACATCTAGCAGTAACTTGCCCACAGTAACCCTTTGTACTTGACCATGGACCCACCAATATGGGTTTGGCCTACTTATTTTAGACTTTCTCATTTTTCTCACACGGGCTGTACTTTTTCTGTGCTGAGAGGATGCTTTAAACATCCTACCCTGTACGACATGATCTGGAGTTCAAAACTCAAAGAGTTGTCACTTGGTGCTTAATATTTCCCTTACACTTTCTCCAACCAGAATCTCCCTTCCCATCAGGCAAGGCTGGCAAGTCTATCATCACGCAAATGTACCATTGTCAGCTGAATTGTGTCTTTGGCAATCAGATTACAGTAAATAAAAGCTATGGCCTACAGAAGGTTCTGCTTTGGTTGTGGGTATGGCCTAGAGAGGGTTCTGCATGCCTTCGAAGCAGAGAGGAAGGAAAGGGATATTTCCTTCCTCCTTGTAAGACCCATGTACCAAAAGAAATAAGTGTGGAAAGTCTATACCTACCAATCTTTTCTAAGACAGACTACTTGTAATACACTCATGTAATCCAATTATATGATTGCATTTATCTTTTTACACTTATTTCTTTCTTCCTGACTGCAAGCTCATCATTGCTCTCTGTACTTACGCAAAGCAACCTCTTGGACAAATCTCACTTGAGAATTTTACCCAATGATAGCTGTATTTTAATAAGCCTATGATCCAACAGACAACAAAGTAAGCAGGAAAAGCTCTGCCTGAGCCAGACTCTCCCTGGGTTTTTAAGCTGTTTCTGTTTGTAAAGCCATTAGTACCTGCATACATATTCATGGGTGGGAGAGAACAAGTTCAGATTTAACTGTCAATATGCATATGTGCATACCACAGTACACAATTTGTTGTTAATAAAAAAAGCTAATCAACAAGGCTTTGTGAGGCTACTTTTAATTAGAAAAGCTCAATAAACAGAAGTGCTGGCTTTCTCCCAATCTGCTCTCACCAAATCACCTCAACACAACTTACTCTACCCACTGAAAATTTTCACTGTTTATCAGTTTAAAATTGATCACTCTTTTCTTGTTTACTCTTGCAATAAAGGCTCTGCAGCTGAAAGAAAAGGGGTTTATTCTTATAAATAAAAGGAACATAGTCATGTTCATGTTAAGTTATTTCCTTCATATTGTAGAGCTATAAAAATGGAGAAGGAAACTGTTTGGGAGAAGGGGTTGCCACTCTGCAAATTTCTATTAAATGGAAGAAAAAATTCCACGGAGAATGGCTACCCAGTTCTGGCAGTTTCTGCCTGCTTTTATTCCACTTACATTTGACTGAATAAAACCACCTTCTACTACACCTGCGCCCCTATTTGTCCTATTAAAGCAGTACCCTGCTGGTTGCAACATTAAGTTCTGCTGAGGTCACTGATAGCTCAAGGTGTTCAACATCTCACTAAGATTCTGATCCAAAATATACTGAGAGAACTGATGTATTCCTCTTACGAGCGTACGTTTCACACCACAGTTCCCTGGGCAGGCCCTTTTTCCACCAGGTGGTCTGTTATCCTCTACACCATTTGCACATTTGGCTGTTCAGAAATTGCGTTGTTGACACGTGAGTAGGGAATTCCCTTATACCCGAGGCGTACACAGCTGCGCACTGCTGGCAAAGGCCATGCTGCTTTAAAAGTCAGAGATGACTCTGCCAGCAATATCGAGGGGAGCTGGAATGGATTGTTCGGTCAGCATGCCACGGCCCACAAAACCAACAGTATTTGTAAGCTGCTAAAGTCAAAAACTTCAGAGGGGGAAAAAAAAAAAGAAAAAGATATGTATGACGTCCTGGCACAGCCATAAAAAATATTCACCTACTCAAGAACTTGAGTTCCCTCCAGGTGTCCCTCTCCAAAAATCTCTCTTCTACTCTTTGTGGACTTTTCTAAGTATCTTGGTATAAGGGCAGCAAATTTAAGAACAGCATTAGAAGGGGCAGTCCCATACTGTTAAGCATTGGATGCCTATTTTCCCTGAGTCCAGCAGGGGTCATATGAGGGACAGGGACATTTTTTGGATACTGTTTCCTCCTCCATTCCCTCACTTCTCTAAGGGCAGCACAGCTACAGAGAGACAAAATGGGAGTTCAAATAGCTCCAAGGATCCTGGCTCATCCCCCTGGGCTGCCATCCATGACATGGAGTGGTAAAAAGTGCACTGTCCCTTCACCAGCATGTAAGCCTTGCTGCAACTTGGCCCTAATGATGCCAGCCCAGGACCTCAGGGACATGCAATTCCACATGGCCATGTTGCTCTAGCAAAGTACCTTGCCTCCTGCTCCATCTGCGTAATATTTTCCCCACGGTGGAATACAACAGGGCTGAGCTTACTGCTTTCCCTTTGGGAACTCCTGACTATTGAATGCCTGATCTCATAATCCTAACACTGTGTGGAAAAGGCTTTTGATATTTAAAAAGTCTTCCCAAAAGTATTTGATTAAGTAGGTCAGTCTCTTACCTAGATGACATAGTTCCTTCACTTTACTACAGAGCAGTCATTAGGCTGCACTGTTTTACCATTTAAGCGATTTGCCAGCATTCAGCAAACAAACATGTGCGAGCCCTTTAACTGTTTGTCTCTGGCCTTCTCCACCATTGGTCTGGCCTTCCAAGTGCAAGGCGCTACCCGGCCTCAACTCCCACGGAGTTCATCCGAGCCGAGGATCTCTACCATCATACAAGAGATGCACAGTGCAAGTCACCCTTAGGCCTCCTGTATAACCCCTTTTCTTCTTTGTTGCCTACATCTTCTGGCCCCTCTCTTCTTAAAGCTATAGGGGGGTCTCAGTGACCTCTGAAGGGAAGAGAAGGCTTTCTGTTATCTCTTGCCACATTCACAATGTGTGTGTAGTTCTACTTGACGCTCGTCTCTGCCTGACTGTTGCTTTACTGCATAACCTCTATTTTGCTCCATTCTCCAGCAGTCCACAGTCCATCAAAGTTAGTTAAAAAAAATTAAGTTCTTCTCTACAGTCCGGGTGGTTGACACTGGTTTTAATTCCCTTTCCCAGACCTTAAGATTTAATCATCAAATTTCTACAGAAGGTCTACACCACAGAGCTTTATTCCCAAACACTGAGGCTTAAGTTTGCTTTGAAATATCAAGTGCATTTATTTTATTTTACATTTATTTTTATATTATTTTGGGATGATGTCTTTTAATTCTAATAATCACTTGGTTTCATTTTCTGCACTGTATATATTTTCTCTCTTTTGCCATCACCCAAGTAGTTGTTTAATGGTTAGCTATAAATTTGCATCTGATCTCAGGTGTCTTTCTGCCTAAAGAATTAATGGAGCTTTTGATAATATATACCCCAAAGGTATATTGTTTTGAACAACTCTTTTGACCTACTTGTTTCCATAATGTTTGAGGTTTCTGTCAATGTGATTTCTCTTTATCATTTTTCTTCCCTTCCCTTCACCAGAGGCTGATTTTCTTCTAACAACCTATTTCATTTCAGTTCAGTAAAACTCCCTTTATTTTTTAATTTTCTTAGGTTATTGAAGTCCCTAGATTCCAAAAACATTAATTTTACATTTTGTCAAATAGAAGGAAGTTCAGTAGATTCAAATAGAACCAGACTGAATAATCTTACCTACGTAACGTCCTTTTTCCTTCACTTTGAAAAATTCAGCAACTGTGGATGAAATTCTTGTTCCTGTGATAGGTTGAAAAGAAAATTAAAGTAAGTCTTATTTCATTAGATCTGAAATATAAAACTCCCTGTCACTTTTCAAAAAAATAAAAATTATTCTGATCTCTATATAAGGAAAATGCAGACACTCCTGATCCATCCAGTAGGAATTTTATTTTACAAAGACCCCAATCTTGCAGTCCAATTTGAACAGAAGAGCCCTTTCACTTCCACTGAAAGCCAGTGAATCCATTAGGCACTAGGCTTACAGAGGTGTTCTGGCACTTAAAAATACAGACAGGCGCATAGTAAGACCTTGAAAAAATGTATAGAAAGTGAATTCCTATTGAAATAATTTCATTCCAGCTCATTTCACTGTCTTTAACACAACCCATTATATGGCTAATGAAACAAGCCAACAAAATTGAAATACAATTTTGCTTTACAAAAAAATCCAAGAATTGGGATTTCTGTCCCATGGAACAAGGAAAGGCCACTTTGGCCAAGGTTTGGGCCATGCGTTCTAAGGGGCCGCTGAATTTGTGGGAAAACGATTCATCTCTATGAACTCTGTCATGTGTTCAGAGAGGTGCTGAGTACCACATCACCGTTTCTGCTTCTTAACGATACAGGTGCTCACGAAGGGGCAAAAGGCCTAATTTCACATCTGCACATCCAGCACCTGCACCGATAGAAAGTGAAGGTTGTGTTTGCCAAGTTCAGTTTTGCAAAAAGAGACTGTTTTGTCGAAACGCAGAATCGCTTCCCAGTCCATATAACATGCTTTTAATAATTATACACTACAAATACCCCACAAAGGCAATGCTCAAATTCAGGTTATTAAACCAGGGTAAAGTTCAAAGATTTGCTTTCCAGGTTATATCACAGAGACAACTGCATTTTCAAATTACTTTTCACAGAATGTGAGAGCAGTTTCACTAAGTTTTAGCTGATACTGGATCCAACCCACACTCAGAATTGGTACTTGCAGCATGAATGAAGCCCTCCTTAGAATCAAAATATATTTGAAAGTTTGGTTATATATGGCACCGTCTGCTCTAACTAGACAGGCTACAAACAGTGATGTAATGATAAACTATTAAAAATGATCATTTACCAAATATAGAAAGGTTTCTGTAAATGCCACAGTGATTTCATCTTGGAAAGAAAAAATGGTTGGGAAATGACTGCAGACAAAACTGACAAGTACAGACACAGAATAAGAACCCCTGAGCTATCTCGAGCTAATTTTGTAAAACGCTGGGTAATTTACACGGCAAGTTTAGGAAGCTGCTAAATTAGCATTCTAGGATCTCACTGGAAATCTCCTTTCCTCTAAAATTAGCCTCAGCGTTAGCTAAAATGCCTTTAACAAGGGGAAAGCGATCCTGCAGACACAGGTGTACCAGCAGCAGCCGCACCAGTCGTGCAGCTGCGAACCGAGCCAGCACAGCAGCTCCGCGCTAAATCATGGCCCTACCTGTAACTGCTGAGGTTTCAGAGGTGGCCACACTGGACAGGGTCTGGTTTATTTTAAAAGTTCTCGGTATCTACACTAAAATCAAGAAAGAGGAAGACTAAAATAAATAAAGAGAAAAGCAAGCATTCGTATGGCGTACCACCACCACACCTGCAATTATTTTGAACATTTATTGTCTAACATTATGAGTTAAGGAGGGAGACCTGCAGAAATTCTTATCACAAACCCCCTTAGAGGGGAAACGGATTATAACTATTTCAGAATTGTTCTTTCTTAACCAGATAATCTTATCCATATAAATTGTTGCAATTAGGTATTCATTATCTCTCCCGTGCCACTGATTAACAAGCTAAAATTGCAACTGTTAAAGCTATAAAGAATTGGACACTCCATATGGTCTTTTACTATATCTTTATAAGTGATTGAGAATGTTTTCTGATTTATATTTTTAAAAAAAGTTTAAACTGCTTGACAAATATTTCATTGTCCTCATACAGCTCACTGCTGCCACTTGTTTGGAAAAATGAAAGGTAAGTTGAAAAATGCACCTTTTCCATTTTCATCTCTAATTGAATTCTCTCTTGACCCCCTTATTCCCCATGGCTGTATTTCGGGTTTTGATGATAAGAAAAAGAATTTTGTATTTGGATAATACAATTTTCTCACTTGCCTTCAGCGACCTTCAGCTCAATTGCCTCTCCCCAGAGACACTGTATATTATAGAATTGAATCAAATTCCTTATTCATAGGAAAAAAGTTCCAATTTAATCTGAATATTCAGCATTTTACACTGGTCAGGGTGATGGATGGCAAATTGAAATGCTTTTGGTTCAGGTAATCAAATGGTAGAATTCAGACTTGTATTGAAAAAAATAATGAAGTCTATTCAATATTCTCACAAGGTGCAAAAAATGCACATTACACGGTAGAACTGGGGCTTTTTCTTATTACCTAACCAATAACATCTCCATTGCAAAAACTATGGTAAAACATTAAGAATTTATGTAGGTTAGAACATGGGAAAAGCAGCCACCGTTGAGGGAAAATGCAGGCATCTTCCTTAGAGTGCTCAAATGAACAAGTACAAAACTGGGGGAAAACCCAGTATGGGCTTTCTGTTCCCAGTAACACAAACTGTTCCCAGTATGTACCTGCAATGTTCAATGCCAGCTTTCCAAAGCCTTTTAATATGTTTTCAAATGTTTTTAGAGAAAGAAGCACAGCCTTTTAATCACTTCAGGTCATTTGCTATACTAAACTACTGTAATGCTTCATTTCCATCCCCCAAGTTTTGTCAAGTAACGCTATCAGGTACCTCATTACTTCCAGAGGATTACCAGATTCATTTCAGAAAACCGTCTTGCTGCTTTTGAAGTTCAACCCCAAAACACCAATTGATTTGAACAACTCCAGCTTGGCACCACCCTACTGACGCAGCATGCTTGGGGACTTGGGCTTGGAGAAGGTATCTTCAGGAAAACAAGAGGATAATGATGCTGCATAAATATGGCTTGGTTTAAAAACTCTATCAACAGTTCCTTTCTTTGCTTCTAGAGATGCATGGAATTGCTCTCTTTGGTTTTGGAATACTGTATTAAAGTTATTTCTTTTCTACTTACATAGACTACTTGCACCACAAGGAGTGCTTCACTGTTGGCACCACTGACATTTAATTAAAATTGCAATGCAGCAACCTACATGTTAAGCGGAACTCCCTGCCAGAGCAACCTCCCCATACCGGGCAGACGTGAGGTGGCCTTCAAAGCTGGGGGAGAACGTTTTTCCTTCCTCCACATCACAAGCAGCTCACAGGGCCAGTGCTCAGGCTCAGGCTTCCTACGTGGAAACAAACAGCACGGGGCAGGCTTCAGTGGGCACTTATTTTCTGTAAGTAACCTGTCGATGGAGCTCACCTTAACAGCTTGCGCAGTCCACAGCCACAGGGTAAAGACAGGGTGTGAGGCACGTGGAAAAAGCATGCACAGAAGCACTCTCAGGAACAGGGTGGGTAAGTGCTCAGACTATCAAGGATAATGGCTGCATTAGAAACATTTCTGAGTAGAAGCTCGTAATATTGAACTAACTCCCCCAAATTAAGAAACATCGGCAGGAAACGGTGAATGCTAGCAAGAACAGTAACTTTGTGATTCACCAGCACAGTAAAGGGAGAAGTGCCGAACCTAGAAAGACACAGAAATATACTCATTTCAGTCAAGCCTCAGATAAAAAAAAAGCTTGCATTTTCCCAGCCTAGCCCTGCAAGAGCAATTTAGGAACCAAACATTACAGGGCACCGCTGCACTGGTGTAAGGCAGTTCTGCAACGGAAGTCACTAAGGGGTACAGTGATGAATAGGAAATTAGAGCCCCATTGCTGTTCCCAGATCCCTTACTTCTTCAGGACTACCGGGAATAGAAGTCACTAAAATGCATTCTTTTATAGGTTAAAGTGAACAGATACCAAATGGATACCCAAAGGAATAAAGTGTGGGGTGTTTTACAGAATCAGAAACACACGAATGAACTTAAGATGTCACAGAAGAGGGTTTAAGCATGTCATTTTGAAGCAATTCAGGCAGAAGCTTGCACTCGGTCCTGAACAGGACGGGGAATAAGGACATACTTCTGACTAACCTGTTTGCTGCATTTCAAGGTCCAGAACATTGCGGACATCTGCTGCATGCGCTTACTTCTGCCCAAGCATTTGGAATATTTATTTGGAATATTTATGTGGAACTTCTTTTGTGAACACCTCTGTGGGAATACAAAAACTGTAAGACACACATGTGAAAGAAATTTGTACAACATAGTATGAAAGGAAATTAGAAAAATGTTTTCATTTTGTTGAAACGTCGCATTTGGATCTTGATCCTTTCAGAAGAGTTCTTAGTACCCTTCCTTGTAGAAGGGCTAGGTACGGAGTCAGGACAGTAAGGCTACGTGAGGAGGCGCTTAAAAGTCAGGAAATGCCAGCATTAAAATACTAATACAATCTGGCTTCATGTTACCATGGGGACTGTTCCCAAAGGCCGTATTAGCCTGTGGACACGAAGCCCCACGGGGGAACTTTCACAGCCAAGGGATACCAACAGGCTCTTCTGGAGGGCGGTTCAGATCAGGAACCCAGCTCAAGCCCAGAGAAGTCTGCATCACCCAGACAAATTTCGCCCCCGCGAATGCTCCCCATACATTCAAATGATATTCTTTAGCCTCAATTATTTTCCCCAGGCCCGTGTGGGACATTATGCAAGCTTTGTCTTCTTTCAGCTGGCACTTTTCTCATTTCCATAATAGTCCAGTATCCTTCTAATGACCCAGGTCTTTTATGAGTTCAAATACTGGATCTATATCTTGGCGGTTGCTGGCTGCTGTCACATTCACTTCTCTTTTCAGCTAGTAATATTAAAAGCTAAACATTAATTACAGGGACTATTTCTCTAACCTTGTCTCTGGGACAGACTACGTAGCTGGGAACAGCGTAGTCCATCGCAGCTGCAGTCTGTTTGATAAGTGCTTCTTAAAAGCCAGACAACTTGTCTGCTGGGTATGCGGTCTCACTGCCGACCGGGGGAGCTGGGGGGTCCCAAAAGGAGCAACTTGGCTAATGGCAGCCATTTGGTTAGTACCCCTCAAGCGCCTTCTTCAGAGAGAAGGACCAACAACGTTGTGACCGCACGCGAAATACTCCGGCCCAGCATTCAAAGGGCTTTTGTTCCTCCTCCGTAGGCGAACTCCGGCGACCAGCGACGGGGAG